CCCCCCCCCCCCCCCGCCCCTAAGATGCAATCTCCTTGCCGCGCCCCCTTCACGGCGACCGATTTCAGCCATCCTAGCGTCGTAGAGATCTGCCAAGGGTATGGAAAACGCCATCGGGGCGTTGTAGGTGAAGACGGAGAGGCGGGAGAGTGGACCGCCGCGTAGGGAGAGCATGTCCGGCTCCGGGCGGCGGACGGCGGGGTCGGCGGCTTCCTCCTTCCCGCCAACCTGGTGTTGAAAAGAAAACGAAAAACACGCCGGAGAGGGAAAAAAAAAAAAAACGGCAGAACAGAGAGGTAAACAGCAAAGAATGGGTGGACGGGCGTGAAAACACACATACGTGCCGTTCGCTTCATGACAAGGCATCGCTCGCCTCCCTCCCCCCACCCAAAAAACACAAGCACCAGCGGTGGCAAAACACTAACGAGCGAGCGTCAGCTGTATGAGCTTGGGGAACGTCACAACTGGCAGCTGGCAGCCAGCGGTGGGCCGGGTCTGCTGCCTGCTGTTTTTTAAATCTTGCATCACCCCTTGATCTTGATGATAAAGTTCTGTTAAGACCCCGCCCTGGAGGGATGACTTGGATGGCACAAAAATATTAAAACGGAGAAGGCCACGTAAGGGGGCAAAACGCAGCCACAGGCTTATTAACACCACCACAGCAGAGATAATATACCAGCAGTGCGATCAGAACGCTACTTATGCACATACCGAGCAGCAGAAAAGAACAACAACAACAGCGGAGACAATTTCAACCGGCCGATCAGAACGCTACGCATGTAGGTATGCTACATGCTACACACCGATGAATCTCCGAGGAGGAGGCGCGAAGCGGCTGTGGTAGCGACGGCACCCCCCTTGCTGTGGCCCGTCAGCCAGACCCGGTTGCCGGCATTCAGCTGCCGCCAGATGAGGCCCCGCAGGTTGTCTTTGGGGCCGTCCGGCTTGTCCCCGGGCACCTTCCAGACCTGTTGGTTCACGTTGTGAGTGGGGGGGCGTCGTAGGCGCGATTCAGGCGTGCCGGTGGGGGGGGGGGGGGGAACACGCAGAGCGGCAACTATCAGCGACATGCCTCGAGTTGGGGTGAGCGGTGTTCGCAGCTAAGCAGGACTGTATCGTTCGGATTTTCCTGCAATAGTCGGAACTTCGTCGAGTTCGCGCTTTCGTTTCCCGAGACTTGCATCAATATAAGGGAACGCATACGCATAGTAGCGTCAAATATTGTGTACCTCATAGCTAACAAGGTACCAGGGATGACGTATCTACCAAGGCAGTCACAACAGCACTCGTCTGTTCTTGGGCACACGGAGAGGTTTTGAAGGCATCCATATTGACTTGACGGTTCATGTCGCGCCGTGAGCGGAGACTGTCGGGGCACCATGAGTGATGCACGGGGCCCCGTGTGTGATGGGGAATTCCGATTTTTCCAATCTCCCACAATAGAAACAATGGAGGCACGCGCCTGGGAAAAGGAATGATGTTGTGTGACCCCGGATGCTACAGGAGATATTCGGTGAGGCTGTGCGGAGGTACCTAAATCGGACGTGTATGGATGGATGGTGATGACCACCATCAGCGCGCGATTTGAATGCTTGGTGGGATTCTGGGTGTGTTGACTTCATGCCAGAGGGAAGCGAAGAACGGTCCGGGAACCTCCAAATTTTGGAGCTTTTGTTAGCGCACGATTTTTGCATGATGACCGCGTCTTGGAGCTCTTGTCTCCCATGTCATGCATAGCCATCCAGAAACAATCTGTATTCTCGAGGGTGTCATATGAATTTTTCAAACGTGATGCACACGGCGGTGTGTTTATCTGATCCGCAGACCTTGCTCCCAAAACATTCCGTTCTTTCGTTGGTCACTGCTGCTGTCGTATATCACACCTCTACCGATTACATCTTGTGCTGTTGTACCGCAGTTAAACCCTTCCGTATTGCATGTACGAAAACAGTCACTCGCTACATCGTGCTCGTGATGTACACATCAGCAGGCAGAGCAGCAGCTTTGGCAAGACCAGGTGCAAGCATCGAACGCGCAAACACACGGACCTCGTCCAACGTCAGGCTCCACACGCCGAAGACCTTGAGGTTTGTGCCTGGGGCCTCGCCTGCCGAACAAGAAGCACATGGCACATAAAGAATGGATCACATACGCGGGCAATGGAGGAAGGGCATAATGAGTACGAGCGTACACGACATGTTCGGTTTTTCTCACGGAAGAGCAAATATACGCATCAGCACTCCACAGACAAACCTCGCTTACACGTGTAGTCTAGACTACGGCCTACGGCGTTTTCCATCAACAGCAGTCTGGACGTGCCGACTCGTACAACTGACTAGTCAAGGCTATTTGGATTAACACACACACAATCTTCCCTCCTTACTGCTGCCTTTTCAACCAACGGTGTCTTGGCAAAGGCACCAATCGACTCATCGTTGCTATCGCCAACCACTTGGCGCACGAACCTTTTTGCCGGGGAATTTTGACGACATAAGAGCCTTAGCCTGAAAGCTTTTCAAACTAAGAGGATTCAAAGAAGGTTTACCTTCGAGCTAGATCGTTTTCCGTCGATTCGAACTCGCTATGTGTTCAAACGTCATGGGCTACTGATCGACCAACTTCCACCAGGGCCAATCGGTTGGGATCTCTGCGACGACGATAGTAGTGAGGATATTTCTTTTGGGAGTGACGGAGACTAAGGAAAGGGAAAGGCAAGAAAGGAGGACGAAGACGACGATGGAGGAGGAAAACATGGAGGAGTGGAAGAGAGCAAAGGGTTTGAGCCAGATGACCTTCCCCAAAAGAAAAAACTTAGGACTAGAGGGAAGAACTGCCCAGAGATTCTTGTCAAAATCAGGATCAGAATGATGGTAGCGAAAACAAGGAGGATAACGGTGAAAGTACTCCTAAACGAACTCGAGTACAAGGTAATAGCCTTGGTAGACGCGCGCGGTTTTCTTCTGTTGCTGCTATTTCTGTCTTTGATCCGAAGGATAGTTTAGCCTCCCCCATGCTGCCCCTTCACGGAGTCCCAGTTCATGGCAGATTGAAGTGTTTTGTGTTTTCAACCGCACTGAGACTGACGTCTTTTCATTGGTCAGCCGGTTAGCGCGGTCGATGCTAATAATAAAAAAACACACACACACACACATGCGACGGGAAGAGGAGAGGCTTCGTAACCACATCTACGTAACCCTAACGATATATGCACGGGCTAACCTCAAGATGTCTCGCGGCGCTTTCGGCGGGGTTTGTTTTTACATNAGGTTGAAATAACCCTTTTGCTATCCTCCGCTCTTTGCATCAGTGGCTTCCTAGGTTCGAGCGAGGGCATTTGTGTAGCTGAGATGTGTGTCTTCGTGAAAGAACATGTAGAGAGAGTTGTATTGGCATTCGCATCAGGCGCATTGCGCATTTTTCGAATTTTGGCCCCCTTCCAGGGACCTTAATTTTTATCCGCTGGCACTGACGTCTTTTAATTGGTCAGCCGGTTAGCGCGGTCGATGCAAATAATAAAAACACACCAGCAGTCGGCGCCTCTCTCACCGTCGTGTGGAATCAATCGCTGTTTGAAATATTTCTGCGGGTACTCGAGCCACTCCTCGTTGCCGATGGTCGCGCGGAAGGCCACGATGAGGACATCCTCGGCATCCACGAAAAACCTCGCCGCTGCAGCCTTGAAGCCCTCTCCTCGCGGAGCTCGCCAAGCTTGAACAATCGTCAGCCCGTGCTTGGCGGCGTGGCTCTCGAGTCCTTCCAGCGTGGGCTCCTTGACAGCCCAGCAGAGCTCCCTGCTGATCATCTTCTTGTACTCTAGATCGTCTGCGGCTTGTCCTGCCATGGTGCGCTCATCAGACGCGTGAGAGAGCTTCGTATTGCCTCCTGCTGGCCGTGTTGCCCACCCGGCAACACAACTTGACAAGCTTTGTTCCACCCAAAGGGGGATGCACAGATGTACTAGCGGAGAAAATCGGTACCTAATGAATTAAGGTGTAATTCTCTACGTATCCCCTTGAATTTACCCTCCCTCCGTCGGAGCTTGGAGGCAGGCAGGAAGCACCACAGAGGAACAGCCATGGTGCTCACCTTCTCTTGTGCGCTGCTGGCGCTGACATTGTGTGCCACACCGCCGTCTCTGGGATCGGCGAAGACGGCCGTAGGCTACCGCGCCGCTGCCACTCTGCAACGGCAACAACATCAGCACCGGAGCGGGCGGCTTGGCGCCAACAACGGCGGGGAGGCGGGATGGTCTATTTTGGAGCACCCACAAGCGGCTGCTACATCAGCAGCCCGCATCAGGCGACGAGATAACAAATCATGGTGGTGGGGAGGACAGGGAGGGCTCGGCCGAATCCGGGCTGCTGGTAACGGTCGTCGCGAGGCGAAGGTCACCGGGAGGGAAGCAGCAGCAGCAGCAGCGGACGGGATTCGCTCGGCGGGCTTGGAGGCGGCGCTTGGCTTGGCGAGGTGAGAAGTGAGAAGCGAGGGGAAGAGAGTGGTGCAACCCCGCCGGCTGCTGCTGCTGCTGCTGCTGCTGCTGCTGCTGCTGCTGCTGCTGCTGCTATTTCATGATGTATGCATCTGCACTGTCGGGTTAAGGTGTTAAATCTGTTTGCGTTGGTGGGAGTAGTGGGACTGAGGTATGAACTTGAACGTCGTTCGACACATGTTGTACACTATGGGTCGTCTGGGGACACATGATCCCAACGGAGACTGGAGATGAACGTGTTTGGAGGCTTGCTTTGGAGACAAGCACACACCCCCGACGCAACAAGGCACAGCCATGGTACATAAGGCATGCGCCACTGCTGCTTTGTTGCACGCTAAGGTCCAGCCTGCGAGCATTTTAACGTGTCTGCTGTTGTAGGTATGGATTCATATGTTCGTCGCTTGTGGGTCGAGCATATCACGTGGAAGGTCAATGAGCGGTGCAGCTGGTGTGCACGCCGTCCAATGGTAACGGCAGCAGTAGCAGTAGTTGTCCCGACATATCGCGGTCCCGAATAGCGGTCCCCGATATATGTGTATATTCATCGCGGAAATAACCTAGCCAGCCTCTGAATTACTTTTCAGGGACCTCAATAGCGCAAGGTCCCGACATATTGCGCTGAAACACCTGTTCTCGCTACAGCAGTAAACCTTCCCCCCGAAAGGGCTAGGTCCCGATACATTGCCGTGGTTTTGTCTGTCACTAGACCGCGAAAATTCGGGGCCACCGCTACTCTACATATACTGGAGAGTGTGTACACGTCTCACCACGAAAAATGGGGCGACTGCTGTCGCCATTACAAATACGACGAAAACACGCACAACACACCGCTGCTGTACTGCTGTACATCGGGAACATGTCCACCTCCAACCCACACGTTTGGCCCACGGCATGACCAATAAATACAGTACCGCGCTGCCCGTGCGCTTAGTAGCACGGTGGACGAAAATTAATATTCCCACTTGCTGCTTCAATGTCCTTCATTTGGCTTGACCCCTGCTGGGATGGTATCCCCACCCCCGCGGCCGACTTGGGTGGGAGGGTGTCCAGCAGATAACGCCTCTTCTCCCAGAGGTTGCGTTCCTGATTGTGGAAATTTGTTTTCCGCTGGCATACGCTTCTGTACCTTGCTCATTCAGGGGTGGCGGCGGCGGGTACAACTACGACGACGACTACTACGGGGGAGCGGAGGGGGGAGGGGGGGACGACCCTTACTACGAAGACGGGGC